GAGGCATACTTTATCAGTCGCAATAGCACTTTTATCATCGTTGAATGTGATACCGTACTTTTTAGCGGCGTTGAGAAATCTCTGTAGATTCTGGTCGTGGCTACTGAAGTCACGTCCGCAGATGGTAACGTTATCCACGTAAGCGAACGTATCCTGTAGCCCTTCCTCCTCAATTATTGTGTTGATCGTCCTTTGAAATGCAGCAACTCCGTTTGTCACTCCAAAAGGAATGCGGCAAAACTGATAAAGCTTTCCGCAAGCCTCGAACGCCGTGTACTGCTTTTCATCATCCCTGATAGGTATCTGGTGGTAAGCGCTTTTGAGGTCAAATGTACTGTATATTGAGTATTTAGATATTTCCTGCACCAGTTCATCAACTTTTGGCACGGGGTACGCGTCGAGGTAAGTGAATCGATTGATGGTTTGACTATAGTCGATAACCATTCTCTTTTTGTGCCTTTCATTCGTTGTTACAATTATTTGAGCTCTCCACGGGGACGTGGAAGGTTCAATAATTTTGTGAGATAGAAGTCTCTTGATTTCAGTTTGAATGAATTTGGAGTCAGGCATAGAATATTTTCTAGATTTAGTAGCTATGGGGTGGCAGTTAGGAGCAAGATTAGCGAAGAGGTGAGGGGCTTCAACTCGTGCAGCTTTCAACGTACAGACCTGAAGAGTGCTTCGTTTTCCCTCAAATGGGATCATCAGTTTTTCGTGCTGGCTGATGAAATCTAGTCCTAAGATTACATCAGATACTAGTCCGTCTAGTAGTGAGAGCTTCACACTTTCGTATTGTTCGTCTTTGTACTTTATTTTGGCGAAAATATGTCCGTGAGTAGTGCGAGAAAGATGTGTAGAGGCCATGTAGATTCTGTTTCTGGACATTTCTAATTTCCATTTGTACCTTTTAGCAATTGAAGAAGATATATAGCTTTCACTGCTCCCCGTATCTACGAGAGCCTTCAATGGTACTCCATTGACCAGTATTGAAATTGTAGATTTAGTAAGGCCGGACGCTGGTGTCGATGCCCAGGAAGATCCAACGGTTGTAGTCCGTGACGTCTCATCATCTGCTTTCACTATGGCTGAGGTTATCGATTTGAGTGTCTGTCTGGTCGATCTACAGACTTTCTGAAAATGACCCCTCTTGCCGCACAAGTTGCATGTAGCGTCACGGGCTGGACATCTAAAGCGTTGATGTGGGCTGTATCCACAAAAGAAGCATCTTTTACTAGTCGCCGCACTCACCTCGTGTTCTAGTTTTGTTGTTGGAGAAAGGCTCTCCACGTCGGCGCTGGCTCCACATGGAGTTTCAGGGTAGATGTTATACGCCATGGCATGGTTATGGGCATATTCAAGTTGTCTTGCTTCTTCATAGGCACACTGTAGAGTTAGAGTAGATTGCTCTAAGAGTCGCAGCCTTATGCTGTTTGAAGCCAGTCCAGTAATGAAGGCGTCTCTTACGAAGATATCTCTGTGTTCTTCAGCGGTGACAGCTTTGAAGTCACAGTCTTTGGCCATACTTTTAAGCTTAAGTAGGAAGGAGTCAACGGTTTGTCCGTTCTCTTGTCGACATAGAGTTATCATGTGCCGTGCAAATATTTCGCTTTTAGGTTTCACGTAGACATTTTGTAGAACTTTTATTGATTCTTCGAACGTTGTACACTCACTTATGTACTGAAATACGCTCGAAGAAACATAGTTTTCAAGTAATTTCTTTTTGTCAATCTCGCAATGAGAGACTGAGGAGATGAAATTCTCAAATGTTCTGAGCCAGTGCAGCCACTTCTCGGCAGCCGATGGCGTGCTAGGCTCTATGTCTAGCTCTTTTGGCCTAAATAGACGCTCCATTTGTATTATAATTTTTACTTACAGACTGAGAATAGTGTTGAACAAAAATCCAAATAAGATACACGAGACACATAGATCCATAGAATTGAACATTTCTAGTTTAATAAATTGTAATAAGAAATAAAGGAACACTGAAGAGTAACCTAAAACAAGGCTTTATTAAACTAGAACGACACATGAACTGACGAAAGAGACTAGGATAGTAGCACACTAAATCAATGTTGTGAACACATTCTCACGACGTTACACAAACATAAACAAATACTAACTATTTCACCACAACCTTGGTTAGGCCAATAATAGAATATGCATCCTCTGTTTGGGACCCCTCAACACAAAATAGAGCAGTGAGTTTCATAACAAACGAATATTCACATTTGACTAGAGTAACACCTTTAGTAAAATCACTAAATTTAGAAAGCCTTCAGGATAGAAGACTCAAAAGTAAAGTAGCAATTGTAGGGCCTACATAAACACTATACCATAATCTTCAAATATAAAAACAAAATCTAATAAAATACTCAAAAAGACACAAAGAGCAAGGCATATTCCTCGTTCCATATGCAAAGACAAAGTTATACAAAAGCTCCTTCTTCCCTAGTGCTATTAGAGCATGGAATGGGTTGCCTGAGCTAGCCAGGAAAACCTGTGACTTAGCACAATTTAAGTCATTGGTTAATATGCATTACTGATTGCATGACGCGTAGAACGTAATTTTTTTTTTTTTAAGTAACGTCTGTATTATATAAAATAAGATCAGGCAACCATCTAGTCTTATGCTTTACTCTTTAAGTTATACCGAAATAATTTTTAAAATAACTTGAGATTACGTTTTTTTGTTTGTTTACCAATTAAGATTTCTTATAGCACCTAAGTCTATTTATAAACAGAAAGTTAAGAAACCCACGTTTGCATACACGCGTTTGGTTTTTTTTTTTTTTGCACAGGGCCGAATCGTATGGTAATGCCAGGGCCTATTTAGACCCCCAAGTCCGCCTCTAGAGTGTGCATTCATGTCAGCACAGCGATTCAGTCTGCTGTTAGTCCACAATGAAGTCGAGAGAAACTGTAAAGTCCAGAATAAGACGAGATAAAGGGACTAATTAAGTACAGTGCAGAACAAGATTTCTTCTTCTTCGTTCTCATTGTTATGTTGGAGCATTCAGATGACTAGACTAATACATGAGATGGACTGCGCAGTGGTTTCCAATTCAGGAAGCTCTCCATATAGTTTTCTTTCTATTGGAGTGTTTTGAGGCCAGTGTAGAAGGACCACCAGCTCGCTTTCGTGGGCTCCTTCGAGGCGGAGAGCCCGACCCCGACCTGCGCGGCGGGATTCCACAGGCAGGACGCCACATCTATTAGAATCGTTACTGAACTCCAACATAGATGAGGTTGCGTGTCAATGTGTTATGCGCCAGAAGGCCCATTGACTCCGACTTCAGCCTGATTTTCTTTCTGGGTGTGCTCCCATAGCCTTTGATCATCCAAGATCATCTGCAAGGCAGCAGTTGTTTATTTTCGGAGTTTTCTCTCCTAGATATACTGCTATCCCTAGATAACGAGCTTCATCTATCCGAGTTTAGAGTTAGAGCGCACTATACTCGCTTTTTTGCCATAATTTCCCTGGATTTCTGAGATGTTTTTAGTAAATATTCTAACCACTGGATTAGCCTACTTCACCTCATCCTCCATGACTGCAAACCAGTTGGTCCGCGGCTGTTTATTTGCTATTCACAGCTAATCCTTATATCTAAGGGTCTTTCCCCTATCCACCACCTGGGAACGAGCTTGGTAGAAGGTGGTAGCTTCCCCAAAGCAGAACAAGATGAGATAAAGGGACTAGTTAAGTACAGTGTAGAACAAATTGGGATAAAGGGACTAGTTAAGTACAGTGTAGAACAAATTGGGATAAAGGGACTAGTTAAGTACAGTGTAGAACAAGATCAAAGAGACTAGTTAAGTACAGTCCAGAACAAGATCAAAGAGACTAGTTAAGTACAGTCCAGAACAAAATGAGATAAAGGAACTAGTTAAGTACAGTGTAGAACAAGATGATATAAAGGGACTAGTTAAGTACAGTGTAGAACAAATTGAGATAAAGGAACTAGTTAAGTACAGTGTAGAACAAAATGAGATAAAGTGACTAAGTACAGTGCAGAAGATTAGATAAAGAGGCTAATGCCGCTAGTTAACTACAGTCCAGAACAAGATGAGTCAAAGAGACTAATTAAGTACAGTCCAGAACAAGAAGAGTCAAAGAGGCTAGTTAAGGACAGTCCAGAACAAGATGAGTCAAAGAGACTAGTTAAGTACAGTCCAGAACAAGATGAGTCAAAGAGACTAATTAAGTACAGTCCAGAACAAGATCAGTCAAAGAGACTAGTTAAGTACAGTCGCCAGTGTATCATGTAGCTGTTTGTGTTGTATTGGCTGAAGATTTGTTATTAAAGTATCACATTATTTAGGAGCCTTTGTTGTCAAGTTCTTAGATGGTTGTTGGGTTGAGTAGTGTTTACATAAAGGCTGATAGAATCATAACAATACACTACTATAGGTACCAGCACATGATAATAACAATAAGGCTTGTCTTTGAGTCTGAAGATTAATGAGGAATACAGTATTTTCAGTGGCCAAGCAGCCCCAGCTGTGACCTACATTTTTAGACACATCCAGCACAAGCATAACCATTGTCCGCCAGTTGTCGACTCAGATTTTCTTTTCACCACATGATAAATATGCTAAAATTTTAATTTCACATTTATGGACTATCCAGTATAGGATATGTTTCAAGAAAAAACACAGAAAAATTGTAGTTTAAAATTTATATTCCCAAAAGTAAAACATCAATAACACAGTTAGGACAATACAAAGCAATAGTATCAGCAAATTTCTAATGAAATTTTAAAACATATTCATTGATTCCAACAGCTCAAAAAAGTCAATTCTAAATAAAACCTAGGAAACAATTTCTTACCCTCTTAACAGTTGAATGCACAAAGAAAAACAAAATGGCACCAAGTATGTGACTCTAAGGCATAATTCTGTTGCTCGGTGCAGTAGAATAGTAAAAAAAAGGTAGCCAGGATGTCATTCAAACTTAAAGGTGGCCAGGATGTCATTCAAACTTAAAGGTAGCCATGATCTCATTCAAACTTAAAGGTAGCCCAGGATCTCATTCAACTTAAAGGTAGCCAGGATGTCATTCAAACTTCAAGGTGGCCCAGGTCTCATTCAAACTTAAAGGTAGCCCAGGTCTCATTCAAACTTAAAGGTAGCCCAGATCTCATTTAACCTAAAGGTAGCCAGGATCTCATTCAAACAAAGATAGCAAGAATGTCATTCAAACTTAAAGGTGGCAAGGATCTTTCAAACTTAAAGGTAGCCAGGATCTCATTCAAACTAAGCCAATGATTTGGGATTAGTCAAAGATATAGAAGAAAAGAAAACATGATTGCATCAGCTCTGGTCAACACACAGTCATCAATAACCTGTTTAAGTGTGCTTATAAAGTTAAAGTTTGCTGGACTTTAGAGGCGCTATTGAGACTGATAAATTCTGAATCAATATTCAATCTCTGAATTGTTCTTTTTACTCTTTTAGAAAACCTTTTCAGATGAAGTACTATACAACACTGTAGGACAGTGACTGAAGAATTACTAGTACATGTAGTTTAATTTTCCTTATTGTGTGTTTTGTCTAGAAGGACATTTCCTAGAGCCTTGAAACTATGGCTCACAAATTTAATGAATATTTTACCTCACGATCACATTTAGAATGACTGACACATATAAATATATATTTGGATAACAATATTATGTTACACTTTTTTTTTTTTAAATTAAACCCATTATATGTACATCAAATAGGAAGAAATAATAACTGGAACATATCTAGTGAACATGCTGTAACAATACCCTCGTGTAAAGTTAAAGCACTACAATCCTTAAACAATGTAAACATTTAACAGACAATGAAAAAAAATTTACATTACAATGAACTACAAAAGTATCTTGAGACTATCATTTACACCAACAAAATGAATGAATGAATCTACTCTCTAAGCAATGTTTTGAATGATTTAATGTAGCTCTAATTAAGGTTTTTTATATAGTGAGACTTGATTTTTTTAAAAACTAAAAAGAAACATTTGCTCATCAAGCACACACACACACACAAAACAGCCATGTAAGCATCACCAGTAGAGAAGTGAAATAGTCCTTCAGTCATGTCAACATCAGTAGAGAAGTGAAATAGTTCTTCAGTCATGTAATCATCAGAAGAGAAGTGAAATAGTCATTCAGTCATGTAATCATCAGTAGAGAAGTGAAATAGTCCTTCAGTCATGTAAACATCATCAGTAGAGAAGTGAAATAGTCCTTCAGTCATGTAAACATCCGAAGAGAAGTAAAATAGTCCTTCAGTCATGAACATCTTTCAATATAATGCTGGACATGGTTCCTTGTGTTTTTAGCAGAATGAAAAGAACAATGCTGTACAAAGGCATTAGAAACAAATACTTGGAATATTTTTTTAAATGCGTAAAAAAATGTGTGTGTGTTATACTGAGGGGAGAAAGATGCTGCACAAACAACTAGCTAAACAACTTCTCATAACCTAACCACTGACCAATCTATGGCACAGTCTTGACACTGGATGTAAATACTGACCAAAAGCTGACACAACCAGCACATCATTTAAGTTTTTTAACATAGAGATATGTTTTAATGTTGTTTTTCTATTCTCCAAGGCTAATAATACAATATTACTTAGGCTTCTTTGGTTCATTGAATATGACTTCTAGTTCTTTTGTCATAAAAATTAGAAACAATAAGCCTTGTCAACAGGAAGTCTACAACATGTAACTAATCTATGTTACAAAGTGTCCTTTGGAACATAAGTAGGAGAGCATCTGAACATTTTAAACCCATTTTCACCAAACAATAAATAAGTAAATAAAAATTATCACAATTCTAAATCTTATTTTGTGTTGTGAGCTGAAACATTGCTGCACTAGGCATTGAGTTTTATTTTATAATATCACAAACAAAATTGAGTAAGCACTAGCCTGTACAAATCTATTCTACTCTACAAGGGCCTGTCATGTACTTTACAAAGTTGTCCTATTCTATAAAGTCGTGTCATGTAAAAATGGTCAAACTCTACCATTATTCAAGATTCAGCCGTTTAAACTGTAATGAAAATGTTCTTGTAATAAAAATAAACAGACACCAGCAGCCAGAAGGCTGTCCCCCAAAGATTCATTGGTAGAAGTGAGGCGTGACTTTCATGGACCATAAAGTAGACTGGAGCTCTCCCAGAAAAGAATTCATGTAAGCAGTATAAGGCTATAGAATTCATGCCTGGAAAAAAAAAATGTGAGATATTAAAATATAATTCTTTCATATCTCTACCTATTTTTTAAAAGAAATCATGTGAGTAAATGAAAGTAAAGTTCCGATTTCAGACCTTGTGGTCTGTAGGGCAGAACATGTAAAGGTCATCTGTTTCTGAGGCCCACGTAATGAGGGTGTCATGTGGCCAGCACAATGACCCACTACTTTCCCTAACTAATTTTAGGTACCCATTAGAGCTGGGTGGACTACAGATCCCAAAATTGAAAATCCCAGTCTTCATCAGGATTCGAGTCTGAGACCCTCCGATTTGGAAGCCAAGTGCTTTTACCACTCATCCACCATGCTTTATATTATGCAAGAAACATATCTATTAGTCAGCCGCCATACTTCTTGTTTTATTCATTCTTGAGACAATATAGAGGTAAGCATTGTCTATCACACTGCATGAGTGGTAAGCAATTGTCTATTACAAACCCCCCAGAGGCAAGCATTGTCTATCACACTGCATGAACAGTAGGCATGGTTTATCAGAAATCCATTTGCTTATCACACTACCTGACCTCCCCAAAGTTGAATGCACGTGGTGAAATGGTAAATTTCTCTTGTAGCATAGGTCTAATGTTTTAGTCTGTATCTATGAGTTAAAATCTTCTGCTCCATCGGCAAGTTAAAATAGTGCGCGCTCATTTTCTAACATATAGCCATAGTAAAAAAAAAAAAATACTGACCTACTTAGCAACAAAGCATTCACAAGAACTACAACAATGTACAAATGTTGACGAAAATTTTATAAAATTAATAAGAAAAGAAAAAGCAAAATAAAAAGTTACCGGCAAAGAAGAAAGGGCCACCACTCCAAACTTTATATACATCCACTAAGATGTAACATACCATCAGAAGAAAGAATGCCATGCCAGATAGGACAAACACAAAAGACAAAGACCTGAAATACAAGAACATATATTACAGTTTTGTTTGCTACGTTTCTTAATTTCATGCTTTCATTTTATTAACAATGACAATTAACAATATATATATTTACACACACACACATGAAGACGGAAAGAAAGTACATCATTGTAACTTGAAACATAACATTGTAGTCACTATTGTTACTCTTCTTCTTTTTCTAGCCAGCTTTTTGCTGCTGAGCTGTGAGCTCTTTTGCAGACTGTGCCAAGGAAAAATAGTGTGCTGTTTTCTTCAGTTGTTCAGCACTGCCGTACAGGGTGTTGGTTATATTGGGCTGTAGTGGAAGTAGGGTCTGCCTGAGGTGGATTAGGGAGGGGCATTCAAAAAAGGATATGGTTTACAGTTTCATAAGGGTGGGCGCAGTGTCTACAAAGGGGGAGTTGTGTGGAGTTTATTTTGTTCAGGTGGTAATTTAATAGTGGTGTGTGTCCTGTTCTTAGTTGGAGAATTGTAGATTGTTCTTTGTGGGGGAGGAAGTTAATACTGTCCAGTTTGTTAGGCATGTTTATTTCTTTGTACATGGCTCTGCCTGTGTTTCCCGATGCCCATTGGTTGAGCCACTCCTCTTTGTGATTGTTGACTAACATTGACCTTAGAGCGAGGTATTTAACAGGTCTATCTGGTTGCTGCATAGATGTTCCTGCCTTTGATAGCTTATCTGCCCTTTCATTTCCCATGACGCCAATGTGTCCAGGGATCCATTGTAAGGTGATGTTGATGCTTAATTTTGTCATCATCTGATATATTATCACAATTAGTGTTGTTACTCAAATAGGTTGATAAAAAAATAGCAATTAAGAAAAAGAAAAAAGGAAATTACCACAAATTTTTATTGATAGGAATCCAGCCATCGTTATAGGAACATTTACATAGTAATAAGCCCAGGCCAGCCTGTACAAAACACAAAAATTATTTCTTAACATAGAAATTTATAAGGAATGAAACTTTGGATTGATTCATGTCTATTCTGGTACAATGAATAATTGTGCAAAGTTTTGATCTAAGAATGGGAAGTGGGAGAAAAAACACGTTCAAACTTTTTACCAGACAGAGTTGATAAAAGCTTTGTAATAATCTGTACATCTCCAGAAAACAAATAGGAATTAGGTTTTATTCAAAGTTTCTTAATTTTTTTTTCTCCTTAAGGTAGTAAATCTATGGTCAGGGTTGTAGAATTTTGCAGGGCCTGGAGTTTAGACATAAGTCCTGTAATATCAGTTCCCAGGAGCAAAGATTAATGTTTAAATATTTAAAAAAATTGACAAGATTAACTCTTTGTACAAATATGACTAAAAATATTTTGTGATGGTAAAAATAATGTTAGATTTTAATTCCGTAGCACCACAATCTTACAAAACTTACCAGAATTATGGCCCAAGTAAAAAATCGTCGACATCGTTTCACCCAGTCATTGTGATTGATCAAAATTTTACCTGCCTGAAAAGAAAATTGTAACAAAAATATTCTTCAATCTTACAGAACATTTAAAATGTCTGTTAGAAGGTTCAATTTCACAGATTAATTACAGGCTCAAGTACCATGTTAATAATATTGCTAATCTATTTTTATTTAATGACCAATACCAGATTTGGCTTGACATCCTTGGTTCACTGATCTTAAGTCTACAGCTGTCTACAACTATCCTAGATTTGTGTGCCACAATGAATACCATTAAGCCTACAAATTATTGGCTTGTGCAAGTCAAATTTTCATTTTAATTTTAAATGCAGACAGGAAGCCTTGCAATATTTTTCCTACAGTATATGTCGCGTCAACCCTTAGTTAGGATCTCATGCCTCGCAAAAGTGCTGGTTAAAATCTCAACAGGATATTTTATCTGAAAAGGCAACCTTGGAATCAGCAGTTGTGATATATTCTTACACTGTTATCCATTGCAGAAAAAAAATTCTTGCTACAAATCTTTGATAAATCAAAAACTTCATAACTGTTGAATTGCTACGTGAAATTCAGTTTTAGCACAAATAGAGGCACAGGAACCAAGTGAAATTCCAAGAACATATACTGTTGTTCATAAAACTGAAAATGATTGTGGCATATTTTTATCCAGTCTTGGTT